ATGGATGGATGGATGGATGGATGGATGGATGGATGGATGGATGGATGGATGGATGGATGATGGATGGATGGATGGATGGATGGGTGGATGATGGATATAGTTTGTATGCAGTGGATGTAATATGAACTGAAACACTAAATGTGCATCAACGGCCAAAAAAGTGGGACAGACAGCATGACATAATGTCACTTGATCAAAACGAGCATGAACTCGGGAGGGAATTCAAACACACGTCATCATCGCAATACTCTGCTACCCCGCACGTCACAGCGAACGAGACTGACAAGAAATGTTTTAACGAATACTGTCAGGCTGAATCGCAAATTCGTCACTTTCGCAGTGGAATTTAGAGATAGGCGAACAAGAAAATGAGCTGCTAGTAGCATCGCGAAAAACATGTGAATCATTCGTTCTCCTCACTCCAAAATTCATCCAAAACTACGCCGATCGATCACTCGGCTTTCACCGCTCTCGATTATCCAATCGCCGCGCTGCCGATCGATCAAACTTCGATCACGATCGATCATCGGGACCACCACTGATGACGACGGCGATGACGTCACACTCACCTGGTCGCTGATTCGCTGGATGCTGACGTTGTGGGGCTGGAGGTCGTTGAGACGCAGACCTGGCGGTGAGGACAGCGTTGCCTCACCTGATCCCAGCTCCAGTCGCAGTCTGAGACAAGCAAACGCGAGACGTACGATTATATATGGTCGGCCATCGGACTCAAACTTTTTTACCGAGGTTAAATTATGGCCCTTTTTACCCAATCAGAGGCCTCGATACAAATAATTCAACCGCGGATAAAATATTTTTAACGGTGCTATGGTAAATAAAAAGGTATATAACGCGGTAGGTAATGATATAGGGCACAATGGATAGAAGATATGGTGGGTAAGACTGTAGGTTGCGTGGTAGGTAAAGAAGCAGGACTAATAGGTTCTGTTTGGAGTGTACAACGTGAAAGGTTATAACAGCATGGTTAATGGGGTAAGTAATAGGAGAAGGTAACAGCATGGTTAATGGGGTAAGTAACATGGGAGAAGGTAACAGCATGGTTAATGGGGTATGTAATGGGAGAAGGTAACAGCATGGTTAATGGGGTATGTAATGGGAGAAGGTAACAGCATGGTTAATGGGGTATGTAATGGCAGAAGGTAACAGCATGGTTAATGAGGTATGTAATGGGAGAAGGTGACAGGGATCAGGGGGGGTACGAGAGGGAGAGAGGGGGTGAGGTGGGCGGGGTCGTCTGGGGGGAGGGGTACGAGAGACGGAGGGTGAGGCAGGGGGGTCGTCTGGGGCAGGGGGGTCGTCTGCTCACCTGACGAGCCCTGACACGAGCTCGAGTATGAGATAGTCCGTCTTTCCCGCAGCCAGCAGTAGCAGCGCATCTGCCTGGCCCGTCTGGAAGTGCAGGTCGAGAAATGTGGCGCTAGAGGCATCCTGCAGCGGGTACGATACATGCGAGTCACCGTAGAATGAAGCTGCAACAAACAGAGAGAGAAATCAATCAATCAATCAATCAATCAATCAGTATATATACATGAATATATAAAGTATAATATGTTAAGTATAATATATATATATATTATACGTAGAACGAAAATGAGAAATGAAACACGGAGAGAGACCGAGAGAGAGAAACAGAGAAAGAGAGAGAGAGAGAGAGAGAGAGAGAGAGAGAGAGAGAGAGAGAGAGAGAGAGAGAGACGTAGAACGAACACGAATCAACGAACAAACGACAGAAAAAGAGAGAGAGACGGCGAACGATTAGCAGAAGATCCAATAACCAGAAATGCATAGAATGAAGCTGCTGCACTGAACAAAAAAGCATCTCTCTGCAACAGAAAGAAAAGAACTACACACCACGAAGAAACCGCTACGAGAAATCAAACGCACCGAACAGCGCGCTACAACGTCGAATAATGTTAAGAATGAAGCCAAAAAACAACAGCAACGAATAAAAAAACATGTAGATACAAGACTGCAACTAGCAGGAGTGCAACAAGTCTGTCAGCAAATTCACAGTAGCACGCGTCAGCCACCGTAGAAACGCAAACTAGCGGTTACGCTCTCGCCAGTCTCCGTATATACAAACGTCACTCACGCATCCGCGCATCTGCTAAAACTCCCCAACCCCAACCCATCTCCACCCCCAACACCCACCCACCTTCACCCATCCCCACCCAACCTTCACCCATCCCCACCCCCAACACCCACCCACCTTCACCCATCCCCACCCCCCAACACCCACCCACCTTCACCCATCCCCACCCCAACACCCACCCACCTTCACCCATCCCCACCCCCAACACCCACCCACCTTCCCACCCATCCCCACCCACAACACCCACCCATCCCCACCCCCAACGCCCACCCACCCCACCCCCAACCACCACCCACCGCACACGACAATGCCACGCGCGACGGAGCAATTAGAAACATCAGACGGAACCTTTAGAAATGCCATCAGGCTTCAATAGCCTAGCCGGATTCGCCACGCGTCGACAACACGCGCGCGTACGGGCGTGCGTTTCCGTGGCGCGCGCGCCATTACGGCAGACACACAATGAGAGAGATGTACGTCTTAAACTCTATCAACAATGTTTAATCTGAATAATACGCGCATAGAGACGGCGACAACGGCATTAGGCTGTCGAGAAGCGAAATCGCAAAGCTCGCGTTGAGAATAATTTGCGAGCGTTGTTTGTGTAGCCAGAGAGCGAAGAGGGATTATCGAAATGTCAGAGTATGGGGGAAAGACGCGCGCGCGCGCGCATACATACACGCGCACACACGCAGGTGCGCGCGCACGCACGCACACGCACATCACACATGCACAAGCGTGTAGGAAGGGACGCATACACACGAACGCATGCATGCACGCACACGCACACACACAACACGCACGCGCGCATGCTCGCTCGCGCGCGCGCACGCACGCATATACACACGCACGCACGCACGCACGCACACACACACGAACACACACCGTCTCATCATCAGCAAAAACGAGAAATTTTAAAACATCTCTGTCTCGCTCTCTCTCTCTCTCCTCTTTCTCTTTCTCTATTCTCGTTCTCTTTCAGAGGCGATCATGAGACACGATAAAAGTCGCTTTTTATGCGAGTCTCCTCCTTAGCGCTATCTTTCTAACGTGCACGCCCAGCTCCGCATCACGATAGAAAAACATTCCCCTGGAGAAAAAAAAACCACTTCCTCTAGACGCGCACGTCGAAACAACTCCACATGACGCGTGTGCACGCACGCACGCACTCACGCACGCATGCACACACGCACGCACGCACGCACGCACGCACGCACGCACGCACGCACGCACGCACGCACGCAGTCCCCGACAGTAGACGACGTTTTCGGCACTCACGTATGCTAGCCGCGCGCGTTCACTGCAAGTTACATCCGTGTTATGAGAGCGAATGATCGAAGCCTGGTCAAGCTTCTGTTATTATTGTTTG